AGCAGGTTGTCACAGAGCTTGGCTAAGACACCCTCCATGCAGGGACCGAGGGTGACTTCCCACCCCCATGCAGGTCAGCCTCACTTCTGGCCTGTCCTCACTTCTTCCCCCCAAATGTCTATAGGGGGCTGGGATAATAGACCATCTGGCACCCTGGTGCTTTATTTGTCAGACACCATTAGCTTTCCAACACCCTTCCAGGAATGCCTGTCTCCTAGCCATGAAAACTGGGTCTTGACCAATAGTGACTTGTGAAATCAACTTAGTGTGTCACGACCTGCATTAAAAAAAAAAAAAAAAAGGAGAAGATAGAATAGCATAGAATAGATTGAAAAATATCAGAGTGTAGTATAGGAAACAAGAATAAGTCTATTTCATGAAACTTTTGCTTTGGTTGTATGTTTGGGCAAACTAAGCTAATATCTAAAATATATACACACTCTTCACTTATCGACATGGTTAGGTTTCAAAGACCAGGTCATTATGTGAAAATTGCCATTATGAGAAAATGGAGGATGACCATACCAGACCACAAAATGGAGGATGATCACATCATTACATAACTGCCAAATTATATCATTAAATAACTGCCAGATTACATCATAATATAACTGCCAAATTACATCATTACATAATTGCCATACTGCTGAGAATCATGGCCCAGCCAAGCTGACACATAACCTTAACCATCACAACCAGCGTTACTCTTGCCTCACACCTTGGTGTTTGTTACTACCAAGCGTAGGTCAGTTAATGTGCAAAATAGTCAGATAGTAGATTTTTTACTATTGTCATATGTCGCAGCGGCGACGGTTGTTGGGGCGGCGGAGACAATAACCAATGCCACAACTCTTACAGAGAAGTCGGCCAGGAGGGTGACTCTAAGGAGTCGAACCCCGGCTTCAGTCCCAGGAGTTTATTTTATAGTCAATACAGCAAGCAGTAAAGCAAATAACAGAACTATGGGCTTTGGGTGAGTAACACGTTTCGGGCAAGGGAGAAGGAATTCAGGTAAACAAGCCAATCAGTAACAGGACAATAGGTTTGGGAAAACAAGTCATGCCTAATCTCTTTCTCATCGCTGACAAGTCTCCAACATGTTGTATACAGCATAGAGGCCTGTGGGGGCTGCAGTTGTCAATAGTGCAGCCATGTTTAAATGGCATATATCCCCACAGTCGTAAATGCAAAATGTTGGATAAGGAGATAGTCAATAAGTGAGGAGTAGGTGTAGCTGCTAACCAAAAGGTTGGCAGTTCAAATCCACCAGGTGCTCCTTGGAAACCCTATGGGGCAATTCTTCTCTGTCCTACAGGGTTGCTATGAGTCCAACTTGACAGCAATGGGTTAGGTTTTTTGGGGTTGGTGATAAACTGGAGTATAAGAACCTGTAAAAAAATCTTTCTTCTTTGGAATATTTTATACTCTCTAGTTGAAATGTTACCCTGATTTCTAGATTGTATATTAAATAAACTTCAATCAATTTCTATTATTGGCTCAATATGATTTTTGTTTTAACATAACAAACCGCATAAGAATGTGAAATGCTAGAATGAATTAACATCGTGTGTGCTTGGACTAATATAAGAGAAGAGACAGAATGGTTAGTTCTTTAGGGGAGTGTATTAACTTCTTAGAGCTGCAGTAACAAAATACCACGAACTAGCTGGCTTTAAGGAACAGCAATGTATTCGCTCACAGTTCTGGAGGCTAAATGTCCAAATTCAAGGTCAGCAATGCCATGCTCCCTCTGATGTCTCCAGGGGAGAATCCTTCCTTGCCTTGCCCAGCTTCTGGTGGCCCCAGGCATTCCTTGGCTTGTGGCTACATCACTCCAGTCTCTGCCTCTGTCTTCACATAGCTGTCTTCCCTCTGTGTCTCTGGCCGTGTCTCTTCTCCTCTTCTTAGAAGAACACCAGTCCAATTGGATTAGAGCCCACCCTTCTCCAGTGTGACCTCATGTTGACTAATTACATCTGCAAAGACCCTACTTCCAAACAAGGTCACATTCACAGGTACAGGGGTTAGGACTTTCGCATATCTTTTTGGAGGACACAATTCAATCCATAACAGGGGCCAGGGGAAAGAATGCTCTTTGTCCTAAAGCTTGAAGATCAGCAGGCATTTTCTACCCGTGCAGGGGGGAATGACATCCCAGGAGGAAGGAACCCCCCTGGTCTCCTGAGCCACTTATGCACAAAGGGCAGGCAGCCATGGACCACCTTGCCAGCCATGGAGCCTGCATCTGTTATTTCAATACGCACCCAGCATACAGCTCTTTCTTTAGGAGAAATGGGGCAGGAAAGCAGTTTGTGTAAAGGCTGCTGAAAGCCTCCTGCCCCTTACATTTCAGAGTCCACAAATGCTCAAGTACCCACTATTGCCAGGTGCTGCTATCACACACATGATCTTGCTGATAGTCACAAGGTTCATTATTATTTCTATTTCACACTTCAAAAATAGAGACACAGAGTGGTAACTTAACCAGACAAAGTCATACAGCTGGTAAATAAGATATAAAAAGCAAACCAGTTGCCCTTGAGTCCATTCCAACTCACAGCAACCCCATGTGTGTCAGAGTAGAACTGTGCTCCATAGGGTTTTGAATGGCTGATTTTTGAGACACAGATTGCCAGGTCTTTCTTCTGAGGTACCTCTGTGTGGACTCTAACCTCCAACCTTTTGGTTAGTAGTCAACCACTCAACTGTTTGTACCACCCAGGGACTCCTCAGCTGGTAAATAAAACCTGCTGCCTTCGAGTTGATTCCAACTCAAAGAGACCCTATAGGACAGAGTAGAACTGTCCCATAAGGTTTCCAAGGCTGTAAATCTTTACAGGAGTAGACTGCCACATCCTTCTGCCATGGAGTGACTGGTGGGTTTAAACTGCCAGCCCTTGAATTAGCAGCTGAGCACTTAACCACTGCACCACCAGGGTTCCTTGGCTGGTAAACAGTAGAGCTAAAATTCAAACCTTAGTCCAATGGACTCTTTCTTGATTCCACCCTGGTAGGACCATCTCTTGAAAAATTACATACATTGTATCATGCCTGTGCCCCTCTTCACAGCCATCACTATGGGTCCAGAACAGGTTGTTCTGCTTCCAGCCCTTCCCTCATCTTCAGCATCTGAACAAGGGAAGGAGAAGGAGGAAAAGATGGGAGTTCCACCTGGGGAGAGCTCCGTTCTGCAGGGAAGTGCAGTGTCTAGAGAAAATCTAACCAGAACCTACAGCCCCAAAATACTCAAGCTGGAAGGGAGCCCAGAAGCCACTGGACCCCTCCATCAACAGAAGTGGCCCCCAAGGAGAGGTGACTGACTCACACATCTACAGCTGGCTAGCCACAGGGTCAGCACCAGGACTCAAGGACTAGGACTCTTTTGTATGAGTCTCAATGCAGATATATTTTGAGGGTTTGAAATGATTATTTAAACTGCTCTCACCTGGTATAAAATGACAACAGTTGATGTCACTGGGTTTGGGCAAGTCCTAGTGATCTGACAGCAGGCCAGTCAGTCACTCAACATTGATGGAGATGGCCTGGCCTGAGGGCATGCTCAGGAGACTGCACGGAATAGGAGAGACAGGTCTGCTCTGAACACTTTCTATCCAGTCATCAGGAGAGAGAGTAGTAATGAACATGGGAGACACGACAGCCCCCAACCACAGGTACACAAAAGCTGACGTGAGGAGTGGGAAATGAGGGCATGAGCAACTGGATGAATTGGGGGTCATGATGGGAACCAGATGACCTGGTACGTAGAGGTGGGGTCACTGAGCCTTGGCCGGCTCATCTGTGATGCCTCTGGAAGGCATTATTGGAATGTTCAAAGAACAATGAGATATGCAAAAGCACTATGGTAAGTATAAACAACAAGAACAACCCATGTTCTTTCTGTCACTGATTTTATGCTTGTGTCTGTCTGGGCTCAGGCCTCCAGTCCCCAGCAAGACTGTCCTGTCATCTCCTGTGAGACAGACTCTCTGTGGCTGTAGCCTGAGTCACCAAACACCTGGCCCCAAGGCGCAGATCGAGTAAATCCTCTCGTTAGTTGGCTTGCATGGAGCTAAGCACCTAGATATTTGAAAACATTTAGTCTCTGGGTGGCACAAATGGTTAATGCACTTGGCTGCTAACTGAAGGGTTGGAAATTCACATCTACCCAGAGGTGCCTCAGAATAAAGGTCTGGTGATCTACTTCTGAAAAATCAGCCATTGAAAACTCTGTGGAGCACAGTTCTACTCTGACACACATGGGTCACCATGAGTCAGAGTCGACTCGACAGCAGCTGATATTGGTAGCTCATATAAATATTTCACTTGGATTTTTAGGTTTGCTAATATTAATAAGTTATAACTATAAATAAATAATGATGATAATATGTTGAGAAATCCTTTGCCAATCTCTGTCACCCAAATGTCATGCAAGTGTCATCTCACTTAGGGAGTCAGGCGGTGAGTGACAGATGTGCCTGCAGATGCAGTACCCTCAAGCCAAAGCCCAGGCTTCCCCACCAGCCTGCTCCTCCCCCTTTCCTCAGCAGGAAAAATAAACACAGGATTAGCCACTTTCCCCCACGCTGGTAAGACAATGATGTAGAGTCTTTGAGAACTATTAAATAAAAGCATTTGCCCCGGAGTTGACTCCAATTCATAGTGAGTCCTCCAAATCAAAGTAGAGCTGTGTTCCCTAAGGTTTGGAAGGGCTGATTTTTGTGAAGTAGACTGTCAGGTCTTTCTTCTAAGGTGCCTCTGGGTGGACTTGAACCTCCAACCTTTTTGACCTTCCAAACTTCTGGTTAGCAGCCTAGCCCGTTAACCGTTTGCACCACCCAGGGACGACTCCTCAACCATGACTCAAATGTGTCAGATGGAGCCGTGGAGGAAGGTGAGGAAGAGGGGCTGAGGCCAGTTGCACTCAGGTGTCCAAGCTGGCAGGAGAACTCCTGCTGTGTACTGCACAACCACACCACATTACACTGCTCGACGACACTTACCTTTATTTCTTTACGAGGTGACTGAACGACGGCCTTTTTTCCCCCCTTAGAGGACTTGGAGGAAGTGGAGGAAAGCTCCCGGGCCCGGCTGGGCTTCAGGTCATTGAGGCTGCTGAGATATTTCTTGCGCAAGGCCAGCAACTCTTGCAAGTACTGCAGGCAGTCCTGGGTGCGCGAGTACGTCCACGCCCGGTCCTCCTCGTGCTGCAAGTAGTACAGGCTGCTGTCCATGCTGCTGGTGCTCTTGTACTTCTTCAGGGACTCGCTAAATTTCTCTCCATGGTCCCCGACCACGTACATGGAGCTGCTGCGAATGAGCCGCACCACGGGGCTGGCCCCGCCGTAGTACGGGCTCTCGGCCTCCGCCTTCCTCTGCGGGCCAGAGCTGAAGATTGAGTGGATCTTCCTGAACATGGTGCTCGATTTCTCTGTGGGTCCCTTCCACTGCCTGCGCTGCCGCCACCGGGTCTAACTGGGGGTGACGCGGCCACCACGCAGGCCTGCTGCCATCTGCCTCTGGGGTCCACGCGCTCTCTGGGATCCCAACAAGTCCCGGCTGGGTCAGGCGGGTGGCCTGGGCATCTCTCATGGGGGACAGTTGCGCTCAATAGCCAAGGTGCCGGAAACAAGCGGCCGGAGCAAAGCTTGAAAGCAAGTTCCCTGGCTGGCTTTGGCGAACCGTTTGGTGCAAAAACCTTCTGTGCTCTTCCATCGAAGGCTTCCGCGAATGAGGAAGGCGTGACGGTGCCCTTCTGTTCACTTCTTTCCTTTCCTTCTCATTTCCCAGCTCTGTCCGTGACTTGATCTTTGTGTGGATTTTTACATTTCCACGTTGTCTGAGCTGGCCCTGGTCCTCAACTCCACGGGTTCAAAATGAAATCCTACTTTGGAGGGTCACCTCTAAGTCAAAAGCCATGTGTGTAAAATCCAGTCCCCAGGATGGGCCGGGGTGGACACGGCCAGGACCCCTGTCAGGACTGGCAGATGCCCGATAAGCTGGGCTCTGGAACCTCAGCCTGTGCCGCAGTAAGGGGACCTTTCGCAGTCACCGGATAGCAGGCCATTGTGCAGAGCGGGAGGGCTCAGGTGTCTGGCCCTTGGCTTTCTGCACAAAAGCGTCAGGGAGCTGAGGGTGGCAACGTGTATGGGGCAGACACGGTCTTTAGCCTGAGCACACTTGAATATAAATTGACCAGTTCAAATCAGACGTAAACTGTTTTTTCAAGAGCATTGTCAGAATACTTTGGAATCTCAGGGATGTTTCCTCTAGGATTTTTCTCAGGCAAATGCCAGACATCATTATTGCATTCATTTATCAACACACCCCGTTTCTCTCCCGGACTTTAGTCAGAGAGCTAAGCCTGGAGCTATCTAGGACAGGCATTTTCTTAAGCTGGGGTCGGCTTTAGAGAGACTGTGAACCCCTAGAAACTGTATGGAAAACGTTGTTGGATATATGTCAGCATGTGTCATTTTAGCTAATTTTTTTTCTTTTTCCTTTTTGGAGAGAGAGAGAGGCATAGTTTAATCAGATAGCCAAAGAGGTTTGTAATTTAAAAAAAAAAAAAAGATTTAAAAATTTGTTATGTCTTTCTCCAGAACAATAACCATGCCTTCTTTTTTTTTAAATAAATGTAGATGCAAATGGATTGGAAGACTTAACATTATGAAAATGTCAATACTACCCAAAGTGATCTATAGTATAATGCAATACTGACCCAAATTCCAGCACTGTTCTTTACTGAAATAGAGAAACAATCACCAACTTTATATGGAAAGCAGAGAGGCCCTGAATACCCAAAGCAATATTGAAGAAGAAGAACAAAGTAGGAAGCCTCACAGTTCCCAATTTTAAAACGTACTATACAGACACAGTAATCAAAATGGCTTGGTACTGGTTCAATGACAGACACATGGACCAATGTAACAGAATTGAGAGCCCAGAAGTAAATCCATCCATCTATGGGCAGCTGATTTTTGACAAGCGATCAAAGCCCATTCCATGGAGAAGAAACAGTTTCTTTAACAAATGGTGCTGACAAAACTGGATATCCAAGTGCAGAAAAATGAAACAGGATCCATACCTTGCACCATATACAAAAACTAACCCAAAAGGGATCAAAGATCAAAATGTTAAAGCTAAGATTATAAAGTTCCTGGAAGATAGTATAGGGACGAAACTGTGGGACCTACTTTTCTTCAGAAATAGACTATCAAACACAACGTGACAAATGTAAGAACAACAGAAGACAAATTAGATAACTGGGACCTCCTAAAAATTAAATATTTGTGCTTATCAAAAGACTTTATCAAAGGAATGAAAAGAGATCCCACAAACTGGGAAAAAATCTTTGGGAATGACATATCTGATAAGGGTCTAATCTCTAAATAACTCAGAAAGACAAACAATCCAATTAAAAAATGGACAAAGGGCATAAACAGGCAACTCACCCCAGAGGACGTTCAGGTGGCCAACAAACACATGAAAAGATACTCGAAATCATCAGCCATTAGAGAAATGCAAATTAAAACTGAGATACCATCTTACACCTGCAAAAATGGCACTGAACGAAAAAACAGAAAAGAACAAATGCTGGCAAGGTTGTGGGGAGATTGGAACCCTGATCCATTGCTAGTGAGATTGTAAAATGGTACGACCACTGTGGAAAAGGTATGCTACCTCCTCAAGAAGCTAGAAATAGAAATACCTTATGATCCAGCAATCCCACTCCTAGATCTAAGAGCAGTGACACAAATAGACATATGTACACCTATGTTCATGGCAGCTGGGAGAAAGATGTGGCAGTCTGCTTCCATAAAGATTATAGCCTTGGAAATTCTATGGGGCAGCTCTACTCTGTCCTATAGGGTCGTTATGAGTCAGAATTGACTCAATAGGAAAGGGTTTTAACGTGATAATTGCAGCGTTATTCACAATAGCAAAAAGGTAGAAACAACCTAAGTTTCCATCAACGAATGCATGGATTAACAAATTGTGGTACATACATATAATGGCATACTACCTGGCTATAAAGAATAATGATGAGTTCTTGAAACATACTATAACGTGAATGAATCTGAAGGACATTACGCTGAGTGAAAAAAGTCAATCACAAAAGGACAAATATTGTAAGGTTTCACTTTTATAAAAAGAAAAAAATAGGTATACATACAGAAATCAATATTCTGTGGTGGTTAACAGGGATGGGATGGAGAGTGGAGGAATTAATTTCTAGATAATAGACATTTGTTGGAGCCCTGGTTGTGCAGTGGTTAAGAGCTGGGCTGTTAACCAAAAGGTCAGGAGTTCTAATCCACCAGCTGCTCCTTGTACTCTGTCCTATAGGGTCACTATGAGTCAGAATCAACTCCACAGCAATAGGTTTTAGACATTGGTTATTATCGGTGATGGGAAAGGCAATACAATATAGGCGAAGTCTGCACAACTTGATCAGGTAAATGATGACACTAAAAATACACACTAACAAATGACATTTTTGGTAAATGCTGTAACATATACAATTTTGCAACAACAGCAATATCAACCAAAATATAAAAGTGTGATTACATAGGTAGATAAGTAAGCATATATGTGTGTAGGAAAGTATATGTGCATACATACATGTGCACATACGAGGGTAAGTCAAAAAGTATTGCTACAATCCCGATCAAAATACCAACAACAGATGGAAAAACTAATCATTAACTTTATATGGAAAGGGAAGAAGCCCTGAATAAGTAAAGCACTATTGAAAAAGAAGAATAAAGTAGGAGGGCTCACACTATCTGACCTCAGAACCTACTATACAGCTATGGTATTCAGAATAGCCTTGTTCTGGTTCAATGACAGATACATTGACCAATGGAACAGAATTGAGAACCCAGATGTAAATCCATCCACGTACGGTCACCTGATCTTCGACAAGGGCCCAAAGTCCATCAAATGGGGAAAAGACAGTCTTTTCAACAAATGGTGCTGGCAAAACTGGATATCCATCTGCAAAAAAATGAAACAGGACCCATACCTCACACCATATACAAAAACTAACTCAAAATGGATCAAGGACCTAAATACAAAGCCAAAAACTATAAAGTTCATAGAAGAAAAAATAGGACCAATGCTCAGGCCCTAATACTTGGCATTAACAGGATATAAACCATAACCACCAACATACAAACTCCAGAAGATAAGCTAGATAACTGGGATCTTCTAAAAATCAAACACCTATGCTCTTCAAAAGACTTCACCAAAAGAGTTAAAAGAGAACCTACGGACTGGGAAAAAATTTTTGGACATTACAAGTCAGACAAAGGTCTAATCTCCATAATGTACAAGAAAATCCAACACCTCTACAACAAAAAGACAAATAATCCTATTAAAAAATGGGCAAAGGAAATGAACAGACACTTCACCAAAGAAGATATTCAAGCAGCCAACAGACACATGAGGAAATGCTCGTGTTCACTAGCCATTAGAGAAATGCAAATTAAAACCACAATGAGATACCATCTCACCCCGGCATTACTGGCACGAATCAAAAACACTGGAAATAACAAATGTTGGAGATGCTGCAGGAAGATCAGAACTCTTATGCACTGCTGGTGGGAATGCATAATGATACAATCATTTTGGAAAATGATATGGCCTTTCCTTAGAAAGCTAGAAATAGAAATACCATATGATCCAGCAATCCCACTCCTAAGGAATATATCCTAGAGAAATAAGAGCCGTCACACAAATAGACATATGCACCCCCATGTTCATGGCAGCATTGTTCACAATAGCCAAAAGATGGAAACAACCTAGATGCCCATCAACTGATGAATGGTTAAACTATGGTGCATACACACTGTGGAGTATTATGCAACGATAAAGAGCAATGATGAATCTGTGAAGCATCTCATAACATGCATGAAACTGGAGGACATTATGCTGAGTGAAATAAGTCAATCACAAAAGGACACATATTGTATGAGACCTTTATTGTAAAAACTCATGAAAAAGTTTACACACAATAAGAAACAATCTTTGTTGGTTACGAGGGATGGGAGGGGTGGGGGAAATACTAAATAGACAATAGATAAGTGGTAACTTTGGTGAAGGTTAAGACAGTGCACAATACTGGGGAAGCCAGCACAACTTGTACAAGGAAAGGTCGTGAAAGCTCCATAGACACATCCAAACTCCCTGAGGGCTATGGGGACCATGGTCTCAGGGAACATCTAGTTCAATTGGCATAATACAGTTTATAAAGACATTGTTCTACATTCTACCCTGGTGAGTAGTGTCTGGGGTCTTAAAATACTGTGAGCAGCCATCTAAGATACTCCACTGGTCTCACCCCTTCAGGAACGAAGGAGAGTGAAGAGAATAGGATACAAGGAAAAGACTAGTCCAAAGGACTAATGGACCA